CAAAGCTTTGTCCGGTGGTCTTTCATTTGCAGTAGTGCCGTTGTTGCCTTCGCAGTGAGAAACAACTTGGTATTGCGAGTCGGGAGTGAGGATGTCAACTAAGCAAGGCCTTCATTTTTGAAGTTGCACTTGACGGCAAGGAGGCGAAGAATCGAAGCGATTGCAGTTTGGCATGTGGGACAAAGGGGTTGCGGCGTCGTGGTGACTATGACAAAGTGGATTGCACGAACTTGCAGGAAGTCATATGTGATTTGTAGGATCTAGACTTGAACATTGTGATTGAGAATATCAGGAGTAGGAGATAGTGCAGGAGGCAAGGGAATGAAACTTCTAGGGAAGATGAATCCTAAAGTTATGAAGGTCTTAGTCGGTCTCATACAGGGAGCTAGTGTCCTGATGAGAGCCACTACCTCAACACATGCTCCTACACAAGTGAAGCTAGATCTCTCTCTTGTGGATCTGAAGCTTGATGGATCGGCCATATATCTGAGTTGGTTGCGTTGGATAGAGGCTACTCTATAAGGGAGGAGACTAGAAAGATATCTGACAGGAATGGAGACATAGAGTGACAGTGTTGAGAAGGATGGGTGGAGAACTACACATACCTTGCTTTACACATGGTTACTCAACTCAATGATTTCATTGATTGCACATCAGTGGATAGCATTAAAAAGGTAAGCGACATTTGGGTGAAGCTGAAGAAAATTTATGTTGGAGCTCAGAACCACATGAGTGTGTTCCAGATTCAACGTAAGATAGAGACAGTGCTTCAGGGTGATGGATCAATTCAGAAGTACTCCATAGATCTGAAGTGGTTGTGGCAAGATCTTGATCACTACTCACCTATGTTGAACTGTAGAGATCTGAGATGCGAGCAGGGGGGGAGATCTTTGCACAGATGAGGACAATGCAATTTCTAGCTCATCTGAACCTAGCTTTTGATCAGAGGAGAATAGTCCTCTTAGCTCAGGAAACGATTCCTTCATTAAATGAGGCCATCATAGTGATGATACAAAAGGAGAGTCGCATGAAGCTACACTCTGAGTCGAGTGAACTTCCATGCATGCTATCAGCTTTGGTCGCCTCGAGGGAAGATATAACAGGGCCTCAGGGGGAGTAACTGGTGCAACAACTGTGAAGAAGTGAGACACTTGAGCAAGGCTTATTCAAAGCCACCCAAGTAGAGAGAGAACAATAAACATGGACAATCTAGAGGTCGTGATCGTAATCTTGGGGACCATAGAGGTGAAAGAGTGGGCTACCGAGCAAATCTGATTGTAGCGGAGAGTGAGGGAGAGACGGAGGTGATCTTTATTGATGAGGATCACGAGCTCCTAGAGATGTTGAAGAGGAAGCGAAAAAGAAGCAGGTGATGTGGCTGAGAATGCATCCACCTTATCTTCATCAAAGAGAAACACTACTACTTATGCTCACTTAACCAAAAGTACTCGACATACATATGCTCTTGCCTCTATATCCACCATAAGATTACCATAATTGATAGCAAATTTTGGTGCATCTCGACAAGTGACGGGTAACATTAGTGAGTTCGATTTTTATACTCATTTAACAGTTCCAGAGAATATTAAAACAACTGATAGTATATCACAACATATGGTTTGAAAAGAGACAGTAAGATGTACTAATTCTACGATTTTTTCCAATATTTTTAAACATTTCATCCATTAGTGTCATTATTCTCCAACTAAAATGTATTTTTTTTATTTGATATTCCTAAGATGATCCTTCAAGAAAAGAGGACTGGCCAGAGACTTGGGACTTGCATGTGGCATAGTAGACTCTGATAATTGGATAGAGAGGAGATGAATTCAACATTTACATCCATGGTAGAATGTACTTGAGTAGGAGCTGGGAGGATGTATTGTGTTACATCACAAGCGCATGAGACACTCTTCGGTTAGTCTATTGAGTCGTTAATACTCGTATTTGTATAAAAAGATAAATAAACAAAAATTTGTGTGATTCATGTGAGTTGGGTAAGCATACCAAGGACTCTTATGTTAGCTCTGATAATAGTTTGTGTTTTTTATTTGGTGCATTTAGATATATGGGGACCCTATTCTACAACTTTGATGAAAGGTTCATTGATTGTTTTTCTCAAGTTAGTTATATCTGATAAGAAGCAAAAGTGATGTGTTTGCCTGTTTTAAAGGGTTTCAAAGGGCAATTCAGAATCAATATGATACAATAATAAAGATATTGAGGACTGATAATGGGACAAAGTATACCAATGAGGTGTTTGGGAGTACATGTCAGTCCAAGGGATACAACATCAAATCACTTGTCCATACACACTGACACAAAACAAAGTAACATAATGGAAGAACAGACATTTTCTAGAGGTAGTCCGAAGCAAGATGATCTCGATGAATATCCCAAAACACATGTGAGGGCAATCAGTTTTGACAGGCGCTCAATTGATCAACAAAATGCATTCAAGACTATTGGAGTAGTAATTTTAATGGTGGGATCCTCCCATTGAAAGTATTTGGTTGTGTATGTTTTGTGAAGTACAATAGACCATCAATAGGAAAGCTAGATCCAAAGTTGTAGTGTGTATTTTACGGGTTATTTTGGAGTCCAATAAAGAAAATACTATTTGTGAGTATGGTGTGACTTTTAAACAATTCGAATTTGCACTACTCTCCCTTTAGTGGCTCGTCAGATAATGGAGGTACAAGGCTAGAGGGAGAGAGTAGTGATGGTGAGAAATTGGTAAATGTGGGTATGAGGCCTTGTCCCATTGTGTGGGAACGATAGAATGAGGAAGAGTAAATGCCTAAGAAAAATGAGCTCGAAGGTGGTGATTCAAGCACAAGGGGAGTTGTGGGTGTATACAAGGAGGAGGCAAAATGAGATAACAGTTTTTGTCGTGTCAATCGTGCCAACAAGTCTCGTGTCCCAGTCTACCCCGAATCCTAAGGCACCTACACCTTCCATCTCAAAATCTGATTACATATGTGATATGATTCCTCTCTTCTTCTCACACTCTCAAGACTTTAAAAAGGACCTCTCACAGCAATGCGCGCTATTCTCCTGATTTTTTTGCTTCTCTCATGACATTGGTAAGTTTGTCTCATACTCTAACATATCACATGTATATGGAGCATTCACTGCATCCTTGGACATTGTCTGTATACACATACGTTAGCATGTAGCTGAGGAGGATCCAAACTGGAAGACTGTCATGCTAGAGGAACTTGGTGCTCTCGATAAGAACAAAACGTGGGAGCTCGCTGACAGAAAAAAAAAGTCAAGTGCAAATAGGTCTTCACAATGAAGCAGATCCCAGAAGGAAAGATTAAAATCTACAACGAAAGGGTATAGTTAGACATATGGCATAGACTATGATGATACATTTGCACCAGTGGAAAATATAAACACAGTCAGGACACACGTCTCTTTGGCTGTGAATGGTGAAGGATGTTACACCAAGTGGATGTGAAGAATGCATTTCTTTATGGGGATCTACTAGAAGAGGTGTACATGGGCATACCCCAAGCCTTTGACACAAACTGAATAGTGGGCAAGGTAATGTAGATTGAGGAAGCTACCTTACGGTTTGAAACAGTTTTCTCGAGCTTAGTTTGATAGGTTCAGGCGATTAATGTTAAGCATGAGCTATTGACAAATTAATACCAACCACACAATGTCCTTTTGAAGACATTGTGGTCATATTACCATTCTTATTGTGTATATAGATGATATGATTCACTGATGATAATAAGAAAGAGATTGCTCAACTGAAGGAAAGACTAGGCAAAGAGTTTGAGATGAAGAACTTGGGACAACTTAGATACTTTCATAGGATTGAGGTAGCTCGTGGAGCAGAGGAGATTGTTCTAACTCAGAGAAAGTGTGTGTTGGACTTGTTCAGAGAGACATGCATGTTGGGATGCATGTATGCAATTACACTGAGTGATCAGAAGGGAAAGTTGAGTTGAGCGCAGATGTGAGAATGTCAATTGATCATGACAGGTACCAGAGGTTGGTAAGTCATCTCATCTATCTGAGTCACATTCGTTCTTACAAATCATTTGCAGTAAGCATAGTGAGTCGCTGTATGCATGATTTGAGGAAAGGTCACATGGATGGTGTATCAAATTTTGAGGCACCTGAAGAGAGCACCAGGGAAAAGGTTGATCTTAAGAAAAAATAGGCATTCAGCCATTGAGGGCTACTGTGGCTCTGATTTGGCTAGTTTTGATGATGACATGAGGTCCGCATCAGGATATTGCATGTTTGTAGGGGATAATTTGGTCACTTGGAAGAGCAAGAAGCAGTTGGTAGTTGTAAGGTCGACGGCCAGGCATCGGTAGTTGTCATGGCCTTGGGAGTTGATGAGATGTTATGGCAGAGAACTCTATTGGTAGAGCTCAAGATGGACCAAGAAGCTCAAATTAAGTTGTGCGAAAACAAGTCAGCAATAAGCATGGCCAACAGCCCGGTGAAACACGATAGAACCAAGCATGTGGAGATTGATAAGTTCTTCATCAAGCAGAAGCTAAATAGTGGACTACTAGAGAAAAGTAATGTAGCTAGAGAGCAAGTAGCTGACTATCTCACAAAGGGACTTAACTGATTAGATCTATCCAGGTTGGGTAACAAGATGGAATTAGGGGATATTTTTTATCGGTTTAGGGTGCTATTTGTAAATAAGGAATATAGAATAAGTCAAGGGTTTTATTTGTAAAGAAAGTTGTAAGGCTGTATAAGTCCGACTCTTTTAGCAAAATCATTTCAATTTATCTCCAAAAGATGCATTGCTCCTGCCAAGTCATTGTGTCATCAACTAGTGGCACATCACAAATCTAACTTAAAACAATCAAAACTCTCTTGCCACTCTCATTCACAATTTTGGTATGTAACATAACAGATAAAACTAAAATAATTAATAGCATCTATCAGGAAAAAAAACCTACAATCAAAATAAAATATAAATTCAACTTTAAAAATGAAAAGCATGGTAAGAAAATCACCTCTTCATGTGAGTACGAAATAGGTCCCTCTCAATAATATCCAAAAGAGACTGCAAGAAAATGCCAAATTAGAAGAAAAACAAAAAGCCAAAGATGATGGAATAACTTTGTGCTTCTCAACTGACAAAACTCACTCTGTGCTGCACAAAAATCAGAACTCTGTGCTGTCCTACCAAAATAGCATCTTCTGAACTAGTGTTGGTGCCAATCCCACACTCTTCCAAAATTTCTTGAAGAGCCACCAATTTCGGAGAATGGTGCAGCTCATGAAGCTCCGAGAGAAGATCACTGCAAGCAGGAATAACTTCAGCCAGAAGGCCATTCAGAGATTCCGGATGATTTTCACCGATCACAAGCAACGGATGACTACAGAGTTTTAACAAGTATTGTAACGCCTGCATGAAAAAGAGAAGCAAGCTAAGAAAGTAATTTCGTATAAAAAAAAAAGGTAAACATAGCAATTGTTTCAAATTCAACAATTACGCGCTGACTCGTGTAGCATACCTGGAAGACATGAGAGGTTGCCTTAAGAGATATTTTATCAGCTGCTTCACTGCTGGCCTCACTCCCTATAACTAATGATGAGATTTCCTTTTTGGAATCTGAACTTGAAAAGTGCTCGTACAGTTTAAGTTGTACAGGACTTAGGTTGCAGTATCTGTCCTGAATAATTTTCTCTGGAAGATCGGACAAAACTTCATCTTTTGTTCGACGCAACAGGAATGGCATGACCTGTATAGCAGCGTCAATTAGATTATTTCCAAATTATTATGAAATAATGAAGCTTGCATATTGTGATGATAACACTGCACAGATTTCACCTGCTTATGTAATGCTTCCATGGCAAGCACGCCTGCTTCAGCATCCTTAGCAGAGCATTTTGAATCTTTAGCAGCCATTAGTGGTTTTCCATATGTTGCTTGGAACTGCAAAATTCATGCAGCAGAAAAACCAAATGAATACATGGCAGATTAATGAAATTCTTATAAAAAAGCTCAATTCAACATGCTTCAGTTCTAACAAGTGGAATCAATTTGCATGAAAACTCTATTTGACACATTTTTCAAATTAGGAACATTTCTCTAGCACTTACAATGAATATGTTAAGAATACTTAGACAAGATAGCACTAGTTTGTTGAATGTTAGGATTATACTTAGCAATCTAATTGCTTTAATATGAATTAGGGTAGATAAATGACCGATGCATCAGATTCCATGAAATAAAGATCATACAGAACAGCTATAAAGAACAATATAGCTAAACAGTACTAACACTACAAAAATCAAACAAACAGAGAAACGTGCATCTCAAACCACACTTGGCAGATTCTACTGCTTTCTCTGATGTTGATACACTGGCATCAATAAAATAATCAAAATAAAACCAAATACAAAATTTTCACGGATGCATGCATGAAAGCAATTACATATAGTATGGGGTGAAGCATCACATATCTGTGCATTAATGCATGCATATGTTGTGTATCTCTGCTTGAAGTCATTTAATCACGCAGTTAAACAGTTCAAATGAAAGTTCTCAAACGGGTTACTAAATCAGTACTATAAGATTGCCTTAATGTAAATCAAAGACAGAAAATACAAAATTAGGAAACGAGAAATTGAATTCAAATTTAAAATTTCTTCAAATGAATGTCAGTTCAAATATATAAACTTTCAGGCGAAGTAGACGTGAATGAAAAATCAACTAAGACACAAATTACTGAATGATCAATATTGTAATATTAGTTCCACAAGCCTATGAAACTCACAGAAAACATCTATCAATATGCCCTACCAAGGTAATAAGTAAATTGCACATTCATGCAAAACACATTCCAATGCCAAAATAGCTGTGTTACACTTTGCACCCACTACAAATAGTATATCCATCCTCTACCTAAAAAAAGTATACCTGTCTCTCCGTACCAAGAAACCCAGGCATTAAAAAGTCAAAGAGGGACCAAAGCTCCAGTACATTATTCTGAAACAAAAAGAAACCAAGATCATATAAGCTGATATTCTACTCTAAAAAATTAATCGTTTATACAGACAAATTTAACGTGTAAACCAACTTGTATAGGTGTGCCGCTCAAGATAAGTCGATGCTCTGCCTTCAACTGTTTAACTGCAGAAGTTATTTTAGATTTCGAGTTCTTGATAATATGCCCTTCATCTAAAATGCAATAATTCCACGCAAGTTTTCCAAGGAAATCAACATCTTTCCGAACTATATCATAAGATGTTATAATGATATTGTACTCGTCAAATTTTCCACGAAGTAACAGCCTTTCTGAGGCTGAACCTGTATATTGAAGTGTAATCATCACAGATTTGTCAACATACTTGTCAATCTCATATGCCCAGTGTGCAACTAATGTGGAAGGGCACATTATTAATGATAAAGGATCTTTGCCATTATTGATGGCACGCTGTTCTACAATGTCAGCTGCTACTATTGCTGATGCTTGCAGCGTTTTGCCAAGTCCCATATCATCACACAATATTCCATGTAGCTTAAATCGTCTCAGAAAAGACAACCAGTTAATTCCTTCCTGTTGATACCTAAACTCGGTGAACAAAAACAGGAAAATGAGAAATCATCTGATGAAGTGATAGACTTTCAAAATATACAAAATTAAAAACAACAAGAAAAGAGTGTGAATGTATAAAACTGAGGCGTTAACTTTAATTGCAAAATAAAGAGCAGCAAGTTCCATCTCAAAATATTATCAATCTAACCATAATATGAGTGCCAAAATACTCTAAAATAAAATGCTAGAAAACAAATGTGGAGAAATAAGTGAGTAGACTCTTCCAAGTGAGATCTTGTTCTTGATTTTGAAAAAGGATTAGGTTTGCCCATTGCACTTTCGTTTTTTAAAAGGAGGAAGACTTGCAGAAAGCATCGTTTTTTATTGAAATGAGAAGAGAGAGACTCAGCCAAATAATGAGAAGAAAGAGGCTTGAAGATCGATAGTGTTAAAAAAGAAGAGAGACTGAGGGTAGTAGAGAGAGAGAGGGAAGATCAAGAGCCAAACAGATGAAGAAGAGATTGCAAACTATCTTGCTTTTACTTTTGTTTTATTTATGAATATTTTTACCTTAAGCCTCCCATTATGTATAATAAGTCATCTTAGGAAATTAAAAGAGAGAGATAAAGATAAAACAACAAAAAATCAAAGTGAAAACATGAGGGATTTTTCAAATAAATTAAATCTTTTGTGAAAGTAGTCGATAGATAAGTTAAGCTTCTTTCATAAAAAAGCCTTTAGAAAAAGAAGTAGCATGATTAATTGAATCAGATGACTCATGAATTACATAATTAATATAAATGGTGCAGAGAATGACAAGCTACTCAGATGGCGAGTCAGAAAACTATGTTCTGCATGAGGACCAAAAATATTTAATACAGAAAAAAAAAGTTTCAAAACAGTTTCCATTTTAACTCAAAATACCACCCTCATAAACTTGGCCAAAAACATTTTATTTTTCATTTTTGCTATTCTTTACAAAGAATCTACTGAAATGAAAGGCATGTGAACAGAAAAAAATAATTTATTTAATAAACAGTATATCTTCCGTATGAGAAAAAAGATAATTGAAAACAAAAAAAGGTGTGTGTGTGTGTGTGTGTGTGAGAGAGAGAGAGAGAGAGAACTGCAGTTAAAGAACACACTAGCAACATTCTAAAACTAAATTTCAACAATGAATAAACAACACACCCAAAAGGAACAAATTTTAAAAACTCTCTCTCTCTCACACACACACAAACAAAAAATATCTGGGCCATACAGACTTTACTGCTTAGTTATTTCTTTAATGGAGTCGAAGACCATAGCATATGCCGAGATTGAATAGAATAAGCTCAGCAGAAGTATGACTCTGTAGAACGCATTCAAGGAAAGACTTTTAGGGCCTACCAATACTAACCCTTAAAGATGAAATCAGGAAAAAAAATTTTACTACAGCCATCGTTCCCAAAATAATAAACCACTTCATTTCATAAGATTAAACATAGAAAAAGAGTATTTACAAGATCTTTTTAATCAAGCCATTCCATTGTGTTTGTAGGTATGTGTATGAGTCCCTTATTGCTTCTGATACCGTTAGACTCCCCATTGGTCTCTATTGTAAAGCATAAAGGGCAGTTGCAACATAGAAGGCTACTTGTACGCGTACATAAATTTTAAGTCAGAATTTTTAATTCCAGTTGGCATTACAAAGAAAAATATAAAGGGCAACAGTCCATTAACCATTTTGTTAGCAAAAATGAAAAAAAAAAAAATAATAAATATAATCCATAATCATTTCAAACTTAACTAATATTGATTATTGTACAATTTAATGCACATACATAATGTGGAATAAATAGTGGAGAACTCCACATTATTAATGGATACATCAAACAGTAAAAAGTACCTGAAAATTTTAAATATATATATATATATTAATGCATCCATCGTTTTCCGATTATGGCAAATAGATCCATGAAGGTGTAGAAAAGTTGATATAATACCTCCGTAGTGTTACTTTGATGTCAATGGGGAGCTTGTAATCATCAATATGAGAATTGTCAAGAAGTTGCTCCAAAAATTGTGCATCTTCACTATTTCTTGATAAACTTTCACTCGGACCAAATGGAGAAGGAAGTCCTCTAGCTAATGGCAAAAGAGGTACAAGCGCAGCAAAGCTATGTGTTACGCCTTGCCTGACACTGAGGTCACAGTCGCTCATACATTTAAGAAGAGGTACAACAAGCAAAGGAGCATAAGGAACTAGCTCCAGGCCCAAACCTTGAACAAGCAAGGTTACCAACATGCCAGCTCCTTGCCTAGCATGCAAAGAGGAAGTATCAGCCAACATTGGAATAGCCTTTTCAATGACCACTCTCATTACACTAGTTGTCATTGACTTGGACATAGAAGTGATACATCTAGATGCTGCCAACCTAACTGCGACATGGCAGTGACGAACACAGCTAAGTACTGATGGAAGAAGGGTTAGCAGTCTTGCTTTCAATGACTCATCCACCAAAGGCGTAATTGCACATATAAGCTGAAAAAAACACAAAGACATTTAGCATCTAACTGATAATAAGGGAATCAAAATGGACTCCTAAAAAGTGTTTTTAGCAAGGCCGTAAACAAAGCCAAGAAATTAAAACAAGACAAAGTTAAATGCTAACTGAAGCCTTTAAGAAAACTTTAGAAATGCCCTTGAATATGGAAAGCTCTATCCTCCACGTTACATTCCTAACATAATGACATTTTGACCAAATACAAACCTATTATGTAATGCATATTAAGCATTGCTAAAGTTATAAATTCTAAAATTTTCAAGTATTTAAAAAGAAACAACTACAATATAGTTACACAAACTCATCATCTTCACAAAAATGGAAATTAGTACAAAATAAAGAAACCTGAATGTTGTTAATCAAAATCTGAGGATCCGTTTGATTGGATATTTCAATCATATCTGCAATCCGCTGAGTTTCATCAAAGTGAATAGGTTTGAGAACCTCTGTGAGGCAGTCCCAGAGCTTTGGAAGTTTATCAAACAAGGAAGACCCAAATTTTTCACACAGATGCTTCAGAGCCTGTTCTGCTCCTCTTCTGCTTATAAAACCCTCTGCCTTTGCCTTATCCTCATTTGCGGATAGAAATTGAGCCATTGACTTTTGAATGCTAGGTGATCTACCAAACAAAAAAAGATTGGGATCTTCAATAACATCCATTGAACCAATGTGTGCTGCCTGAGGAGTTTCTGAAGAATCTGCACAAGTTAAGCTGCACAGATTCTTGATTAGTTTGTCGTTTGGACCAGGCTTTCGCCCAATACAGCTAAAAATAAGCTCAGCAAGTGCCTCTGCAGCTTTTTGTTGTAATGTTTCTTCCTGCATAGAGATGAGAGTATTTGAGGGTATAGAACTATATATTTGCGAGAGCCAATTTTTTTTGAGATTTCAAACCTGCTCCCTCCTAACAGCAGCCATCAAAGGTAAAATAATTGGATTAAGCTTGGCAGGTAGATCTGACATCCATACCACAGCAGCAGCAACCATCGCTGAAACAGAAATATGCAAGTTGTTCTGCAAAATGTTGCATTTCATAATAAGAGCTCAATAAAAGAAGATATAATTTAAAGTTTTTTACGCAATAAAATAGCTAAAGAATTAACAGTCAAGCAATACCCAAATACAAAATAGTACAGACCTGTACGCATTTCAAGTACCCTGCTGTGGAAAGAAGTTGCTGTTTTGCAGACTCTAAATCATTAATGGCAGCTTTTTCACAGGTTACAGAATCAGCGGGCTCAGATAGCCTTGAAGCAAACATGATTGCCTCATCAACACTCAGTGTAGCACAATCAATATTCATAGTTGAAATCAGACTCTGAAACATACCACAAGACTCAGCTGATCGGAACAAAATATTAGCTTCACAACGCATTTTTGCATAAGTTCTTGAAAGCTCAGCATAAGGAAGAAGAGAATCCTTTGTTGGAAATGATGGATCGGAACATGATAATAAATCCAAAAGCCAATTTCTGACATGCTCTACAAGACCCAATAAGTTACCTTGTGCTTCCAGACAGTCCCTGTTGCGCAGTTCTTTAAACCAAGCAATAAGAACCATTGCAGCTACCTAAGAAAAAGCACAACCTTCATGGATTCCATGAACAGTAGGAAGTAATTCACATGAAATTTTTCACAACTAGAAAAGAGAATTTTTTTGTGCGTACCTGCCTCTGAACTCCAGAAAAAGAAGTAAGATCATTCCATAATGGATGAATAACAACAGGAAGAGAAACTTCAGGCAACCTAGAGACAAAGATGCCAAGAGCTGAAGCTGTAATTACTCTTGTATGTGTGACAGGTTTCTCACTATCTGCACCGACAATTATTATTGTGCTAATAGTAGCAAAATCAACCTTATTTTCCTGCAACATACTTTCTTTTGCTACCTCAGAAGCTAAGCATGTATTAGCAACGTTATCACTCTTTACAATCCTCATCTTGGCAGCTGCTCTAAAATGGCTTTTGCGAGGAAGAGCAATTGGACAAAACATTTTAGTGGCATCCAAAGCCGAGCCATATGGAGTGGCAGCGAGCTGTATCCAAGAAGAAAAATATAACTTCGCAGCAGTTTCCAAATCCTGTTCTGGACACTGAAAAAATTCTTTAGTAACAATTAGAATCTAATTGCAAAGGGTTATAGTACTGCAAAATCTTCCAAAAACCAACCTGAAGCAGAAGCTTCCAAACCCTTTCAGAAGACAAAAGAACCGCATCATTTGACTCTAAAAGGAGATTCTGGAAAACAATACGCAAAGCATCACCCAAGATAGTAGATGGCCAAAATCCATTGTCTAAGGACTCGGAAGCTTCTATTACCAACTTCAAGAAGCCTCTCCTAAGAGATTAAAGAAACAGCATGAAATTCAGTAAGTTGCTATAAATAGAATACCAGTAACCTCAGTTGAAAACTACTTAAGGCTTCAAATTTTATCAATACGAAGAGATGTTGAATTAGATGTGTCATTTTGTCATATCAACTGCTATTGCTGGTTTTGTTGCAAATTGTTTGTAAATGTGAATATAATGGGGGCACGTGTTTTACTATGTGAATGCATTTTAAGCTATGCTGGGAAGCATGCATAGGACTTGGGCGGTGTTTGGTAGCATACAATTAATAGCATTTAGCCATGGATTTAACATAAATCCAGCCAAACACCAAAAAAAATTAAGATTAAATCCAACACTCTTGTTAAATGCAATTTTCTCATGTTTGTCTTTCACATCTTGCATTCCATCATTTTTAGGATGTAAATCTGATTTAAATTCTATTGTGAGGTGGATTTATTCAGTCGTCGCTCACAAGTTCTTTTGTCGGAGTGTGGATCTAATAAATCTGGATTTATCGGATGTGATAAATCCTATACAACGTAAATCTAAGTTGCAGCCAAACACCACCCTAGAGTTCACACAGAAATTGAGGTACACCGAGTCCTTCACAAACTCAGTGTATCAATTATGCTTTTTACCATGTTTGCCTGCAGTTTTTAACGATTTTTTCTGTGGCAGAATAAATTCTATTATAGTCACACCATGAAGTAAGCATATATACACTGTCAGCTCAATTCCCTCCTCTCTCAGAGCCATCCCAAGTAAGCCAATCACGCCTTTCCTAACAAGTTCAACAAAGCAGATCCTGTCATAACCTAAGTTGAAGCCAAAAAGGGCCACTGACACCATACTCTGACAAATTGGAAGCTTGTTGTGCCACCAAATAAGTCATTATCGAAGAAAAAATGTAAAATTCAAAATAAATGTGCAGTACCCCATGTTTGATGAGAACAAGGCTAGTCTAGAAGAAATTTATTTTTTTTTCAATAAAAAGTGTATGCATGCATGTTTGTGCAAATAAAGGAGCACCTATACGAGTATTAGCGTGTTGTCCAAATTATATTAACTTTCCATCATATTTAAAATAACTTGCCATCTGTATTTGTTTCATAAAAGTTGGCAATCAAATGAATAAATAAAAAATCACAGCAACAAATTTAACAGCTTCTATGACAATTTCAACAGAAAAAAAAGCAACTAGGACATAAGCTAGAATTACCAAAGTTTGTATAGCAGAATAGCGAACTGATGTGATGTTGTGTCTCATGAAAGGCCACAATCTAGGTGTTAGCTTAGATAAAACATAGGGATTATCTGCACATTTAATCCCATCAACATGATCATCCGGCTGAGACAGCTTGTTAAGGTCTAGGTCCTCTTTCTCAATTACCTTCAGTGTGCCGAGCATCTTCGGAACCATTTCTGGCTGAGAATATATTTCAGACAGCAAGTTCATTACACTGTTGAAAAATTTTAGAAAAAAGGAATTGAGCAAAACCAATTTGAGTAAGTGTGAAGCATTTTAATAAAAAATAACTCTTTTATCAATACAAATAAAGAAAGAAAAATATGGAAACAAACGAATGGTAAATTCATTGAAACAAACCATTTAATTAAAAGTTAAAACTCGCAGTAAAATCAAGAGAAATTTATTATTAGGACCTTTTGTTCTTCTTTCCCTTTGTATGAGTACTTTTGTAATCAAGAGTTTCGTTTAGGAAGGGATCCATTGATAGTAAACAGCAGGAAGTAGTGTGCCTTCGGACTGTCCATCACCAAACAGAAGTGGGAGGAACCAATACAGCAGCGTATAGGAATTATTGTTCTTTCTCATTACAATCAAAGTCTTTCTGACTACAGTTACATCATCATTGTCTCACGTTTATTAATGTTACAACTTGGTGTCAAGAACATTATAATGAACTTGATTTAGTTTCCTATCCTAGATCCTATCCTAGATCCTATCCTAGAAGTTTCATTGGTAAATTGTCTTGGTGCGTGCTTTCACCAAGGAGAAACTGACAATGTTATGCCCAAGAAATCACCATCAAAGACTTACAATGTGGAAGCTAATGGTACAACAGCGTTTTGCAGTATGTGAGAGGCAGGATTGTGAGACATTTGTCCTATTCAAATGACAATCAAGAGAATATTAAATATAAAATCTTTTCCATCAAGTGTTCCAAGGTTCATCCAAAGAGGACAAACACTTTCAAAAGTTTTTAAGAAAGGAACCAAGAAAGCACTATCAAGACAATGAAGAATAAGTCGATATTGCAAACTTTGAGGGTGGATTGAATAAAAAAGATTTCCTTAATTGGTAGTATTATGTAGAATGCACCTTTGATTATAAATAATAGGTGAATAAAAATATTTTCCCTTAAATTAAAAATAAGAGCTTCCACTTGGTGGCAAATCATAAAAGGACTAAGGCTAGAAAGAGAAAAAGTAAAATCGCTGAAAGAGAAAAAATGAAAAATACTTTGGAAAAAAAAAATCCTCATTTCAGCAAAAAGCTTTCATCGAGCTCAATGATTTTCAATCGAGTTTATCAACAAAAGAGTATGTGACTGAATTTGAGCAACTAACGTTAAAATGTGACATGGTTAAGCCTTAAAAACATAATATTGCGGTTTTATGTCCCACAATAGCAAATGATGTGCAATCAAAATAACATTGGATGTTTTATGGTGTCACCAAACCAGCCCTAAGGTTTGAAGGACCACAAAAATCATCTAAAATTTTCTCTCTAAGGCTAGGACAAAAAACCAGTAAATTTGGAAATGAAACTTCTGAATAAACACTATAAGTATCATATAAAAAAGTTCCTTCAAACCAATCCAAAGATACGGATGGTAGTAAGGCAATCACGTCCAATACAAAAAGCCCGCTCACAGCATGTTTTTGAAGCCAACAATTTGGAAACATTGCTTCAAATTGCTTAATAATCATGTGGTATCCTTAGTTGAAGAAACACCATAGAGCGAGGGAAACGAAGAAGAAATAAGACTTAAAGATGAGCGCAAACACTTAACCTGAGCTGATGCAAATAACTGCTTCATTTAAGAGTGGTAAACGTCCCTATACACTAGGAATTGGAGTGGTTTTGCCACAGAATTTTTCATTAAAAACAAGCTGGATAACAAAAAAAATTTTAAAAAAAAAACTCACAATATTGTTAATTATAGGAAAAATCGTGAACTTGGTTAACCATAAATATAGTGAAAAAATAAAACCTCCATAAAAAAGATCACCCGGAACCCTAAAAACTATCATATTTGCTTAAAGATAATTAAATAAGGATTTCAAAATGATGGTTAATACAATAGTATATTGATAATAAATTATGGAAGGAGGTTAGTGAGACATTATCCTTCAATGAATGCCAATTATTATTATTGTCGATAATTGTCACAAAAGTACATAGAAGAATTGAGAGCAAGCATGTGATATTGATGCTTATAAATGAAGAGATTAAGGAAAATGTTGGCTTCATTCAATATTCCAAATCTATATTCATGAGAGCTATGTTAAACTCCCTATCTACATAAACTCTCATAGTGTCAGAAGAACATTAAAGCGTGAAGCGAAAACCAAAAGAGATTCAACCATTATTATAACAATATTTGGATGGTTTCCCTATCGATTTACCTACAACTTATCTACAATAACAAATGTACATATGGTAGATTTTGTTCATTGAGCTATCATTTCATATGTATTGACCTATCAGAAGCAGCCCGAAGAATATGAAAAATATATCATAGAATAGAAGAGCTCCTTATTAAAGACTTGATATGAAAGAGTGATAGTCCAAATGTGATGCCAACAATATCAATTACAAAGAAAGTTGGCACATAATAAATATGTATTCATAGTTTAATGATAAACAATATTACAATAAATAAATGATTCACTACTCCTTAATTAGATGATCTGTTTGATCAAGTACATGAAGTATCTCTTCTTTCCAAGATTGACATAGATATGTATACCGCTAGACATGTATGAAGTCATAGGTGATTGAAAATTGTATTCAATACACGAGATGGATTATATAAACAAATAGTGATACTATTTGACCTTTCCAAATATCTCAGTACTAATATGCATCTTATAGCTCGAGTTTGTCAACCATTGTGGTTGTATACTTCAACACCACCTTTTTTAGATGCACATTAAAGGTTCAACTACATCACTGGCAACAATTCTTCAACGTAATACATCAAAAAAAATTATATACAACAACAACAACAAAGCCTTTATCCCACTAAACAGAGTCGGCTACATGAATCCTTTTTCTCCATTGAATCCTATTTAGTGTCATATTTTCATTTAATTCTAATAAATTAAGATCATTTTTATACAATAAACCCAAGACTTCCTAGGTCTACCTCTGCCTTTCTTAACATAAGTCGAATCTAAAACATCTACTCTTTTAATCAAGAAAAATTATATGCATATTAAAAAAAAAGTCAATTTTTAGTAAATTAAACTAATTCTAATAGGTATATCATTTACATTGTCAAATTCAAGATGGATGAGAAGTTTAAGCCATCACAGATTGGCCTATCCGCAACCTTTCATTTATGTCCATAGCTTCCATGGTCTTATGTCTATTGCCGATTCATTAAAAACTTTAGGTGGCTTCTCATTTGACCAAAGTACTAAGAAATTCATTTAAATATCAGCAGCCCAATCTAGTTTGAAAGAGCTCAAGAAAATAGTTACAAAAGCTCTTTTGTTAGCTCTACACAACTGCAATTCCATTATTGTGGTTGACTGTGATGTAGTTAACGTGGAGATTGGTACAATTCTGACTAGGAATGAGTACCCAGAATCATATTTGAGAAAAATTAAAGGGCACATCTTATTTTGTCATAAAAACAGGATGCCTCCAATATCGTTGATCTTGACTTTTAGGAGATTGTTAACACCAACATGGTGTTCCAAAGACTATCACATTTTATTTTAATGTTCACTTTCTGATTTCTTTTGAGAACTTATGAAAATTAAGAACAAAACTTCAATTTAATCCTACTGCTTGTCCGCAAACAAATAAGGCTTCGTTTGGGAGCGCGGCTGGACAGCTTTGCGGCACCTCACCACTCATATCTACTGTTTGGGGGCGCGGCAGATCAACTTCGCAACCGCCGCAGGGAGGATTTTCGCAAAAAGCGGGCCGCGGGATCGACCCTGCGACCCGCGTTCGGCGACTCCAGTTGCTCCTTAGTTCGTGTTGTTCGTTTGTTTTCTCTCCATTCGTTCCTCTTCTCTGGCAGTTCGGCAGTTCGGCGTCTCACTCCCCTGATTCGCAATACATCCTCGTTGTACGATCGCATAGTTCGCACCCCTTCATCTCTCGGCCTCGATCACCTCTGTCGATCTCTCGATTGTGTCGATTTGGCTGGATGGGAAAAGCAGGTAGAGGAGAAACTTAAGGAAGCAATTTGTTGCGGTTCATATCTTCTCAAGTTCTTGCTCTTTTCTCACTGGCTTTTTTTGCTAAAAAACTCTTAGTTACTCTTTCTTCTTTGGCAGTGGGTGCGGACCGATACTTGGACCAGTTGGAGCCTATGCGCAAAGCAAACGAAGGTTTCTTCCACCTAGAGCAAGTGTCTTTTTCTTCAAATTGACAACCTTATGCTCTGAATCGTTTCTATCCCTTGAATTTCCTAGCACTCATTTTCTTTTTCATTGTGTATAGATAGATTTGGTTATAAAGTTTGCTCCACCTCATATTTAATCCTTGGGGAATCCAAGAGCAGCAATGCAATTAGGTGATTCCCCTCAATTTCTTTCTCAGAATTTTATGTTTGGACAGATCAGTACAAAAATGGATGTTTATGCCTTTGGTGTTGTGCTTCTTGAACTTATTTCAGGAAGGAAACCTATCAGCTCTGATGGCATTAAGGGTGATCAAAGCTTAGTAATGTGGGTAAGTATTGCATTTTATTTTTCTAATCCAAACTCATTTTGCTGAGTTACATGTGACTTATGTTTAGCTATACCAATATTTGTGTCATGTAATCAATGCAATGCATGTGTTCTTATTCCTAAACAAAAATTGATAGCACTTTCGGTGCTCACTGAAGTTTCAAAATATGATTTTTACAGTCTTCTTTTAAACAGTTTTACCAAACAAAGGCTGTATGGTCATTTTTTTCCAAAACCAACTGCCCGATAGCTGGTTTCACAAAGCTGCACCAAACATGTCACTAGCTTCCCCGTAGCAGCTTCCTGAGGCAGCACAGCTGCAGCTTAAATGCTGAGAAGCTACAGCTGCAGCTTAAATGCTGAGAAGCTACAGCTGCGTCAAACAAAGCCTAAGTCAAAAAAAAGCTGTCAATGTAGTTTGGAAAGGCTGTTGATAAGCTTTGTTGAAAAATGATGCCAAACAATAACCATAAATCAAACAATAAGCCGCAATCCTTTTGAAGCACAATATGCCGCAATCCTTTTGAAGCAGTTTATAGCCAGAACCTTTTTACATCCCAAAGGGAACTTTGTTGCTTACCAACACTGAATTCTATATAGAGAGCTAGTGAAATTAAAACAAATCAGCAAGTTATATATATGACCATAAAAGAAATATTTAGAATATCAGAAGTAGGCTAACAATCTCAATTTTTCATAAGAACCATCAAGTGTGCATTCAATTGTGAAAGAAATGCTTTCCTTAAAAGAACTTTTGCGAAGCTTTAACCAAAAGCAGGAGGTCATTTTTGGGTCATCAATCATATCAGAGAAAATGAATATAAAAATGATATGCTAAGAGATATAAAAACCCCTACAACTTCGAAGTTGTTGATATAACAATTTATTATGAACAAGAAAGTTTTCAAGATATCAAGAACAAGTCCAAAGCAGAAAGCATGGCATATGGTCTTTGTGAGCTAATTTGTTAGAATTAGAATTTATGCATAGGACCCTTTTGCTTATTTCTCTCTTACTAGAGGTAGTTCTGTAATTAAGAGCAGTCTTTAGTAAGGAGACAAGCCTATTATGGCTACTTGTCAGCAGAGAGAAGTGAGTTTTTTTTGGAGGGAGTTGTTCAGGTGTTGATCCTGAGGCATGGAAGGATTCCTTGATTTTCTAGAGGTTGGAAGGGAAATAGATTGCAGTAGAGTCAACGAGAAGGAAATAGATTGCAGTAGAGTCATCAACTCTGCCACAAGCTAGCATCAAAACTTGAGCAGCCATCTCTTGCAATCATTCATGGCCAACTGCAGCAATTCCAGAAGCAGAGAAGAACATCAGTGAGAATAAATGGGAAGGCAGGCATCCTTTTTTCTGCAGGAAAGAACTATTGCCATTCCAGGAAAGTGCAGAATGTTGACCGATCACCCATTATGGAGAAGTGATGCAAATTGCCATTGTTGAGACATGGGCAACAAGGATGGTTGACAGGGTTGAAAGCAATAAAAAAGAAATCACAACCAGGCTTTAGCGTTATTAATACTCAGATAAGTCGTTGGATTGCAATATTCTTGAGCCAATAGATATTTTTTTTCTTCTGTTTTTCAGCTAGATTTTCCTTAGTTGGCATATTAGGTTTCCTTCTCATTTGAATTGTTATAATTCAAGAAATTGGAAACTCTAATCGCCTAAAAGTGTGCTCCCTAATAATCAAGAAATACTTGCGCTCAGAAGGCAGGCTTTATTGCTGTTCGGACACTGCATCCACTGAGTGACATATTAGAACCTCAAGACACGACATACAGTCGCAAAGCAACAACGATTATGGTGTGCCAATCAGTTGTCTGCTCAAGCAAATTCCAAATAAGGAATCCATCCAAATAAAACTCACTTTGCCGCTTATCACCTCTAAAAAAAATTGTAGCTGTAATAAAACGAAACAAATAACACAGAAGTACCTGCTAGTTGATGGACTCAAGTCATCCAAATCAAGCAAAATATCCCAAAGCAACATGACAATTGAATGTAACATTCTATCACTGAGAGAAACAATGGCTGCTGCAGCAGGTACCAGGCAGTCAGCTGCAACAGCTCTAACATCATCATCCGGATCTTCAAGTCCAGCTTTACATGCAGGGAGAATATAAGGTAACAGGTCCTGGAGCATTTCCTAAATAACAGCAACAAAGCAAGAGGTGAACTTGCTATTAGAAATGGCAAAATTGTTATATTACAAGAAGAATGTATAGTGCACATGTCGATCCACTTGTGAATTTGATATAGTAGGCAACTAAGCATGTCAATCCAATCTAACTTTAAAAGAAAAATATATTTAGATTTAATATAAAAAATGAAAAACAACAATAGATATAGGAAGGTTATTTTCTGATAAATAGTTCTCAAAACTGACAAACAGAGATATTGTTCTTTGTTTTTTTCACAAGGCAGGGATTTGAGGGTAAAAGGTGATATGGGCTGTAGAGTTCTCTATTCCTACAGGCTGTTGAATTTCCCTGGCGGTGCGCTGTTATTTCCCAGTTGCTGTCACAATTATCTGCTATTCTCATGTTACTATTATATATTTGTTAAGTTCTTTCTTCCATATGCTGTTATAGCCAAGCTGATATTGGCATTGCCATACATAGGGCTATTTCTTTAGATACTGATCCTGATTTCCTTCTACCAGAGCCTCTTGTTTCTGATTTCCATCTATGATAGCTTTCTGTTTCCATGATGGGTGTTTAGGATACACAGGTTTTTCCCTTTTCCCTACTATAGACTGGACTCGTGGATAAAATCAAAAATGGAATTTAGTTCGGTATTTGATATCATATTGGGCTGATCATATGCCAGCTATACATACTATCCTGAGGTTGATGAGTCTATAAATAGAGGATCTACGGCATGCAAATTGTTAACTTTAGTAAAATAAAATTTATTTTCTAATTTTCAAACTTGTGTATGCAAGTTGAATAAGTGATTCTTTAGAGCATGTGTGACTATCAGGGAAAAAGTCATCTCCTTGCACCAAAGCAAGTAAAGAATTTCTTACTTCGATATCTTCTTTGCACCCTGTTGACCTCATTTTGAGGTCATTACTCTTTTCCTTAGGATTCTAGGATCTAGCTCTAGGGGTTCCTGTTAACTATCTTAGAAAACTAGTATTGAAATTCATCCCTTTTAGAAATTCCAGTCACTTCCCGATTCTCTTGTGGTGTCTAGCCTAAGTGGTCTCAAACCATCGTCCTTTGGTCGAGTGGTTAAGGACTATCATGTGTGGACTCAAGGAGAAATTCCCAATAGGATCTCAAACCCTAGGAAAACCTCTTCAGGACTTTATCATCACACACACAAAATGTACAAAATTCACTAAATTGCAAAAGATCAGACTAAAATTGAGTTTAAAGGATGGGTCAAAGTGCGAACTTCTCCGGACGACCTCCGATGACAAAATGGACTGCGCCAACGCGTCCGGGACACCAATTTTAGCCATGAAGGACATCTATATTGCCATAATTTCCGACACGAGAAAATGACATGCAAATCGATGAATTCGTCAAAACGACTTTCGATGGTGAAACGGATAGCGCCAGCAAGTCCGGAACGTCAAAATTACCTAAAATAGACACCGATTTTGTTATGTTTTGACACACAAATAGAAAGTACGAATCAAATTTTATTTTTGAAGGAATATTAAATATTTTATTACTTATAATATTAAAATTATAATCCTAATCTCTATTTCCCCTCTACCCACGCACTTAAACCCTCGTCTGACCCGTTCCATCGTTCGATCCCGTGGCTTGATCTCGCAGTACTCATCTCACTCCCCTCGTGTGCCCTAGTTCCCGCGGACGATCCACGCGGCGATTTCTTCTCCCTTTCTCGACTCTTCCTCTGTCGTTCGCGTACGCGGCTCGCCTCCTCGAGTTCCCCTCGACTTTTCGGCTCTCCAATTGCAAGAGGCGAGCTAGCCGACCCTTCTCCTTCTCGAGGCTTTACTGTCTCCCTCCTTACTGTAGCAATTACTCCCTCGTCATGTGATTCGTTTACTAGTTAGGCTGGTTGGTGGCTCCTTCCCCTCTCTTCTCTGCCTAAAAAATGGCTTCTTAGTTTACTGTTTTGGGTTGTTGAAAATTTTTTGAGAGAAAAAGTGAGACAGTGGTTTTACTGTTGGAGGCTTTTAGGGAAAAAAACTCTGTTGAAATCTTTCCTAAGTTTGATTCTCATGTGCTTGGAGTGTGGAGCATTCGTGGGGTGCTGTTTTCTGAGGCTTGTAGGAAGAGAAGCTCTGCCGAAATCCTCTCTAAGCTAGAATTCTCGTGTGCTTGTGGTGCGGAGCATTCGTGGTTGTTTCCTGAAGTCTTTAGGAGGAGAATTTCTATTGGAGTGGTTTTCTTGAATCATTCTTATAATTTTGTTTTAAATCTGCTGAAAAGATGTATTTTTCCTCTCTCCTCTATTTTTGCACTATTTCGGATGACATCTAAAGATACTTCCTATCTCTTTTAAAATATGTGGAAGCAAGATTTGGGTATGTTTTGAGATTTAAGCATGAAATAATTCCTATAAACATCAAAATATAGCATGTATGAGTTGTATCTGTTCTTCTTGCTTGAGATATTTGGAAGTATCATAATAGTAGTTTTGAAATGAAATTTGCCCCTCTAGAAATGCATGTTAGAATGTATTATCAGATCTCTTTATTATTATTACTCAAATTCAAAACGACTGTTGGAAAGTGTTGGCTCTAAAAAAAAAATCTATTCAGGCTTATCGATTTCATATTACCTATCACTGTTTGAAAGCAAATGTTGGAAATTTTCTCTGTTTTGCCGTCTTGTTTTTGGGCTCGGTTTAGCTCCTTTTGGCATCATGTCTTGGCTAAAATCCTTGCTATTTTTGGCCCCTTTGGTGAGTTCGATTTTGGCTTCTTCTAGGCTGAATTTAGCTGAAAGTTTTACATTAGTTTTGGCCCATTTGAAGGGATGGGTTTGGGCTTCTTTTGGAGTTATATGTTGGCTGAAATTTCTTATTTTGAAATCTCTTACTGTTCGGTCCATTCCTTAAGCTCGGTTTGACCCCTTTGGTGGGCATGGTTTGGTTGGGGGCCTCTTCTTTAATGCTCCTCCGAAGTTTTTTTTTTATGGGTAATCAAGTTTGTCATCCCAAAATTCATGAATTTCAATATCTATCTCTATGTGGGAATATTTAATGTAAGCAATGTCATACTTTATGTGATGAAAGTGGGTTTGATCCTAATGATTTATAATAGTCTGTCCATTCACTCTCTTATGTATATCAAAGGCGATGTAATGGCAGTACTTATAGTGGTTTCCTTTCCGCTGCCTTGGCCGTGAGTCTTACTTGGTGCTGCTGCCTTTGTGGCCTTCTTCTTTGCCCCTACCCTTGAGCCTTAATACTATGGTTGGTGTTGTGGCTGGTTGGGATTTAGCTTGCTTCTCATTTTATCCTAGCCATGAGTTTTTCCCATGGCTCTTTTATGTTAAAGGTAGTTGGTTCGGGCTTGGCTTTCTGCTACTGCCCCTGCCCGTGAACTTTATCCTATTTATTGTTTTAAATTGTGAAGTTATGTTGAAACTTCATGATATATTTCATGATTTTGTTACTTGTGGGCTTGCCATGAAGTTTGGTTGCTCTCTTTTCTGGCCTTATCCGTGAGCCCTCCTCTCTTTTCTGGCCTTATCCGTGAGCACTGCTCTCTTTTCTGGCTTTACCCGTGAGCTGGTTTTGGGGCTGGTTTGTTCTCTTGTGGTCCTTGGCCATGAGTTTGTTTGGGGCTTGGTTGCTCTCTTTCTTGCCCCTATCCATAGGCTTATTCTGTGGTGACCTTCCCTTTCTTGACTCTACCAGTGAGCTTAAATGTGTGGTGGTCATTCCTCTTTATTGCTGCCCCTAGTTACGAATATTTATTTGGTCTTATCTAAATAGCTCCATGATTATGTGAAATAAAAATCTTTTAATGAAAGGAAGAAATTGAAAGTATTTGGGAAGAGTATGAAATTGTAATTTGGAAAAGGGTTTTGGAAGTTTGATATTAAAATTTGGATGACATAAATGTTATATTTAGGTTCAGGATTAGGTGTGTGAGTGCATACAAGGAATGGAGCCATGGGTATAGTGTTATGTTAATTTTGAGTCCATTTTAACCTATTTGAAACCAAGAATTGGAAAGGATACCCTTTCTGGGTTGGTCAAATTCTATAAAATTTGAGAAAATGATATCCTTTCTGGATTGATTCAAGGATCTTGGGCTCTCTTTTGAGGTTTGTTTCACCCTTTTGTTTTTTGATCTTTTGGGTGGATCAATTCCTCCTCTCTCTCATCCCCATTTTTATTCATTTTTTCCTTACTTCTTGGTTTGATTTTCTGTACTTATGTCTGATGCATAAATGCTCATATACAGTTTTTTGTTATATAAGAAATCATCAGGCATAGGGCGATGATGACAAAGGCACGCCGGTGGTAGAGCAGAATGATACCTCATCCTACAACATCATGACTCAATTCTATGACCTGATGAACTGTATGATGAAAGCATCATTCACCGATATAAGACTAGCGGGGCACCCGTACCTTCTTAGGTTGTTGGCGGTCATATGCCCGACGACGTGATTGACTCGTGGACAACTATTCCTTTTTCAAAAATTGATAAAATAAATTGATAAGAACATATACAATATTTATAAAAAAAAAATTTTCACTATAAAATTAATATAACTTTACTTTTGTATGCCTGAAATATATATACATGCTAAAATATAAATTTTAAAATGTGTTACAAATTGGTTGTCCACTTGTTGATTATCGATACCGGGCTAAGGAGTACCCTCCTAAGTTAGATTTAGTAGGATATTCTTCTAGTAGAATGGCGGGCTTTATACATCCGGGTGACCGATAGTAGCATTCGACGTCCCTCGAGTACAAATATATATATTTGAGTCTAGCCCCAACCCGAGTGCTTGTGGTCCCCTCTTTTCAGATTTTTCGTATGTTTTATCGAAAATTTTTGGACAAAACACTCGTGGTCTTTTCTCTGGGATTTTCCCGAGGTTTTGATAGTTTTATTTGAATTATTACTCGTCAATTTTCTCAAGTTTTCCGTCGTGGATTATTTGTCGATTTTCTCGAATTTTCCGTCGTGGATTATTTATCGATTTTCTCGAGTTTTCCAGGTAATATTTCTTTTGTTTATACAGTGAATAATAGCCAGCTTAAACGAGCAGCAGGTCTCCAAAACATACAGGTTTGATTTACATTACAGCATTTTATTTCACAGCATGTTATACAGTTCTCCTGGCATGTTATATTGTTATCCTCTTTTATACCGCATGTTTTATTTCTTTGATACACTATGTCTTAGTATACGAAAACCTAGTGTTTATATAGGATTGAAACCCAACCCAAAGTTGCTACGCCGAAAACTTGGATCGAACACCGTGGGCAGTATGACGAGGACATACGGAGGAGCCACTTCAAGATGGATCAGAGACATCAAAACACATTCACATCACCGAACACTTGGTTTAAATAACAACCATAAGATTCGAGGTGGTTTGTCTAGTGCAACATAAACCCTTACATATCACTTTTAGGTCTTTGCACAATCATGTTGTGCAATTATAAGTCCTAACACTTTAGGATTCTGAAGTTACCGTACGGTACAGTGTAAATTCTCCTATCTTTTTTTTGGTTATATGTACAATCTAATATCGTGTGAATGTAAATCTTAAATTCTAAATAAATTGCAGGATTAAACATTAAATAACATCATTTCAAAGATATAAAGTCAAACATTATCATAGTTGGGAAGTCACTGAGGTTTCCACGGGATCTGTGATATCCCCTCCTCTTCATTCCTTTGGATTCCTTCAAATAACTGTTACTATTTTGAGTCACTCCCATTTGATTTTCTCATGTCCAACCTTGAAAACCTAAACTTTGAAATCTGGAAGGTAAAACCACTTATCTTAATCGAGAGTTTATTTAAGTGACTCTGGTCATTTAAGATGTAATTAATTATAGGGATTTGCCTCTATAGGGAACTAGGAACCCAGGTAAAATAAACTATATCTAATGCTTATATTAGGTAGAGAAACTTGTTGGCCTCATATAAAATATTTCAAAGACTAAACGGATGTCACAAATTCTTTAGTTTAGGTGATTGAGCCTACTACAAGTGATATGTTTATTCTTCGGGATAAGTATATTACTCGTAGTATCATGCTTAGTCATCCAAACTATCCAAAATGTGAGACTCGTTTGGTTTCATCTATTTTTAAATTAAAATGTTACTTTCAAAAAATTATATTTACATCAAAACTATTTTCATATTTATAAAACTCATCTCTCCTTTTCAAAAAAAATCATAAAACCAAGTTTTTTTTTAAGTTTTAAAATTAAAACGGCCGACACACCCCTAATTTCTTCCACATATTATTACTCGCTGGTGTTCCTAATTTTGCTCAAATTTGATGCTACAAGTGATTTAATTGTGGTGATTAAAATATAAGTGTTTGCTGAATTTTACATGGTTTGAATATGCCATTGATTTATAATTAAACTATCCTATAAGTTCTAATTATTGTATTTATTGTTTGCAAATATTGGCAGATTTAGTTTTTTTTATTATTATTCGTGAATCCCAGCTTCCATACATTTCATCATTCTAGTTTAATTAAAAACACAAGACCATTCACCTCCGTAAAAGTTGTACTCTCACCATCAGAGCAGAAAAATCCATGCAAACAAGGTAACATTGTCTTGTGATGGAACTATGAAAGCAGACAAAAGGTAAATTCAAGCCTCGTTCACTGAATCAAAATCCTAATGAAGGAATAAAAGGTCATAAATAAGATAAAAAAACATAGCAATAAACAAAAAAGATAAAGGGCACATGGTTGTACATGATGAAGAAAAGCAATAGACACAAAAAGATTATGCAACATATACTTGAGGACTCACAAAAAATATAGCAGCAAGTACAAAACTAAGTTTTACAGTGGAATAAATACAATAATGTTCTCCTATATAAATTTTACATCATCCATAAGCCTATAGCACTCCAACCATGTTATTTTCAACATCTACGACTAAGAGGATTGGGCATTTCTCGCAGTTTGCCTTCACTTTTTTCCTTTAAGTGCTATTTTAATCTCCATTTCAAAAATAAAACTTACGGTACTAGATTAAATTGTCATGGTCACATAGAAGGTGGACCATACAAATTGTTTACAAGAGAGAGTTAAAATAATATTAATCCTACATACTAAGATAAGCGACAAGTCTCTTCCCTATAGAAACTAAATTTTGAGACATGCAGCCTCTTTGATTGTTCAAGGATTTTTCCAAGAAACTTTGCTTCGAGGCTCCAACAATTTTCTGGATTTTCTTGGGACTCTTCACGATTTGACATCCAACTAAACTAGGTATGTGTGAATACAGTATTCAATGTCTCTAAAGACAAGCTTCAATTTTATCAACAAATTAATTCAAACTTCATTATGAAGACTAAACTTGCGCCTTTTTTTTTTTTTTGGTTAGGCACACTTGACTCTTAATTCATTACCAGCTAAGAACGTATAATATCAACTAGCTCACATGCATCACATCTCATCAATAAGACTCCATACAAACTAATGTAGGTTGATGTACTTTAAACATATTTTGGAAGTTTATCAACAAATTATAACTTTCAAACTTCCTCTTGTTTGGCATGCCTAATTCTTAATTTGTTACCAGCTAAAGACCTATAATATCACACCCGCCATCATATTCTACCAGTATCATCCCATAAACCACTTCTAATGACATTAACAACTTTAAATGCTCCAATAAACCATGCCCAACAACAACCCTAATCCTCCAGCTCAAACGCTCCTGAGCTATATTATGTACCTCTTCCAACATGCTTACTACATTAAATCACATAAAAGAACCACAAAGAAATTCATGCTTAAAACAACAATAAATTTTGAGAAAAATTTAAAACTTAAATTTGTTTTAGCCTAGTCAAAAAGAAAATGATACCTTCCTAACAGCAACCAAATATTTTATCCCAAGTAGACAGCCATGCCGTACCTCCCATTCTTGTCTGCACTGAAAGCAAAAAAAAAAAACAGAGAGCAGAGAGAGATGATAAAAGAAGAAGACACAATGAACAGATTTGCAATAACCATGAGATGTCAAATAAGCTACCTGCATATGTAATAAAATCTTTAATGTCTCCATAACCAATGAAGGGTGCATGTACTTTAAAACCACCCCAAGAACTTGAGCGCAAGTTTCGCGAACGGGTGCAACAACTTGGTCGGCAACGTAATCACCAAATCTACAAGCAAATTTAAAATAAAGTTTAAAACTAAAAGAAGAATATTATATTGGTATAAGGCAAACAAGAAAAAAAAAATTGTATAAATATCTGAGAAAATAATTTAGTCCTCCAGCAAAATCTTATACATAATATAATGTGCCCTTTAAACAACTACTCACCGATCTAAGGATAGTATACACAAAAATCTGATAGCACAATCTTGCAAAAATTCCCAGTTCTTCATCCGGGAATACCTAGCTAATTTAATCAACTTCATAAGTTTGGAAGCCTTAGGAAGATTTGTTGTTAAGTCTAATTTGGAAATAGAGCAGGTATCTTCAAAAGATGATTCAAGAGAGGCAGCATCCTCCAACTTGCAATGATAATTAAGTCCGCCAGAAGATGGTTCCATTTCCACTTTAACATGAGTTCCAACAATATCATCTTTTACCAGTGTAGGATAGACAATTTGTCCTTCCATTGTGCCCATGATAGAGTTATCTTTAATTTCCCCACCAACAGACTCTACAGAACAAAGTTTATTTCCATTATCACTAAATTCGATACCAGACTTGTGCCTTTTTAGCGGAGGTTCATCCTCATCAACTGGAAAATGAACATTCAGATTAATTTTCCAGGAATCGCTTATTTGTTTCTCACACTTTATGTCCTCTATATCACCAAACCAGGACTTTTCCAAGTTAAGATCCACAGACAACACTCCAGCACAGGCACCATGATGAGTCAGAATTTCTCTTAGAGCCATAATGGACCCATGGCGCACCTCCCAGACTGTATAAAAACACAAGCAAGAAGATGCATTGGAAAATATACATTATAGATAGTTCAGAAAATAGAGAATATTGATACACCATCCAAAAAATAAAACAATAAAAACAAAAACTGACTGGGATCAAACATATCATGAATGAGTTGGTCCACAAAATGCTGGAAAGGCCATCTACCATCCTGGTCAAGTTCATCTTTATCTGCCTCAATAACTGCATTCACAAGACCCTGTAAAGAGAAAAATATTTGCATTTAACTAGATTATCTTGTTACAAAACCAAATGCAAATAAACATGCAGGAAAAAAAAAATCATAGTTTCAAAAAAATAATAATAATGCTTTGGCATGAATATAACTAGTTCTATTTAGCTAGCAAACAATCAAATTGCTCCCAATTTATTGGCTTGATAAGAGAAATTTACATATACTAAATTGATTAGTTCCGTGAGATGATAAAAGATTTTGCCAAACAACTCAGGCAGAATGGAATAAATTCACAAACAAAAAGAAAGAAAGAAGAAAACCAAGACGAGCATACTTACCTCTTCCTTTCTAACAAGCAATCTCTCTACTGATATAGGGATACTAAAATTTCCAACTGAAATTGCTATTTCTTTGCCAACATTTAATTGATAAATTAAGATGAAAGCTCTGACAAGCAGATTAATAAATTCCACCTGAATCTCACATCCAAGTTAAAACAGCTTAACTGTTCGGACCAAGACAAGATGAAACACATAATAGATGCCGAAAAAAGGATTCTACAGATACGGCACTGCTACGTAAATGCTAGAAGAGTTGTTTAGATTTTAAATCAGAAAGCTATAACCATCAACAATGATTTCATAGAAAAAGATAGCAGTTCAAAATCTCCAACTCAACAAAATAAAGGCATTTTGAGCCAATGATATATAACTTGGTCACCATAAAACTACAAAAAAAAAGATCTATAAAAGACAAGGAAACTATAAAAGTGAATTAGGAAAACAATCATCATCGTTTGCCTTCAAAACTATTTGGAATCAAGATTTTGGATCGAAGTCCTCTATTTGTAATTATTGAGTACTACATTAGGTGTTAAACATATTTTGTGAAATCTTTCTACATCACTTCTATCCAATTTTCTTTCTAAGCATTTGACATTAATTTTATATATCCATCATATCAGTGCATCTTCCACCATAAATTCCCTCACTGCCGTGATCTGCATGATTTTTCACTATATTAAATAGATGCCACTCTCACCATCCCTCTAATATAATCATTTATCAAAACATCCTTTCCGCGTTTACAGTACATCAATCTAAACACCATCATTTTTATAACGCTCGACTTATCTATTAATAATTTTATTATCGCATAGCACTCAAATACACACAACATAGTTAGCAAATTTATAAATCTTAAAAGCATATCTTCCAATCTCAAACGTATTCTCATCACAGTAAACTTCTAAGGCACTTCTTCATTCTAAAGAATGAGTCTTAATTCAAAAAGTTATATTTTCATCTATATTACAATTTATACCTATGATACATCCAAGATGCTTAGAACATAACATGTAAGTACAACCATATGCTCTGATAATATTTCTTCAAAATAGTAATATAAATATCCAAAAAGCTACTTATCATACGAATATTTTTTTCAATTAATCATGCTTGTTATTTTCAATACACTCACTCCATCATTAGAATTTTACACTTATCAACAAAAATATCACTGATAAAAATCATTTTATCTTCAAAAAGCAGAAACCAAAAACCTCATTTTGCATATCCTTTATAAGCATCTCCATAACTAATAGAAGAAGGTAAAGACTTAATGTTCATTGTTAATGTAGAACCACCATGATTGAAAACTCCTTAGTCACTCATAATGACTCATAATACTAATAACTACTCTGACATACATTTCTTTCATAACTTTGACAAACTTTTGACATTTTTTTCTTTGTGCGAGCCTAATCAATTCTCATGTTAATTCAAGTGATTTGAAGTTGCTAACCATCTAAGGTAATCAGTCCATGTTAGGCTTGAAGCAAGTCAGTTAGTGTGTTAAACCCATTTTAAGATGGAATTTAGTTTTATTTGATGTTATCAATTCCTAGACTAGGCTAAAAATTGGTCGATCAATGTATTTAAAAACTTGATTAAGCCTATCAGTTCTAAAGAGATATGCTCTCCTTGGTTTATGTAAGCTAGTTTAGACTTTTTAATTATAAAGAAATTTCTCTCGCTGCTCCTCGTGTTTAGTTAGCATTTTGAGTATTTTTCGATTTTATAAATAAATCCATTCCAAATAATGAAAACTGGATTTTCATATTTCTAATTCTAAACTTTAAATCTCCATCTTCCTCGCTCAAACTTCCAATCCTAAATATAAATTTCCAACTTCCCCTCTTCTTTCTCTCCAGAATTTTTTCGAAACAACAACAAGAAGAAGAAACTTTTATCCCACTAAGTGGGGTCGACTACAAGAATCCATTTCTACATTGTGTCCTATCGATTCTAATAAATAAGATCATTTTTTAAACAACATCCCTAAGTATTTTAGGTTTACCTCTCTACCTTTTTTTACATAAGTCAAAACTAAAACATTTACTCTCCTAACAGATCAACAGATGTTCAGCTTTTAACGTGATTAAGGGTCTGTTTGGTGGCTATCACAATTTTTTTTTTTGAAAAAGCCAGACCACAGCCAGAAAGCTGCAACCGCACCTAGATAGACGCGGTGTGAAAATGATGCCTTCAGCGTTTTAAAAACGCATAAGTAACCAAAACGCAGCTTATCCAAATAGGTCAGGTGCGTTTTCAAAACGCCACCGCACCAAATAAGCTTACCCCAAACGGGCCCTAAACCATCACCCGATCTTTTTTCCAAGACAATCGAAAAAATTTAGAAGCAATCATGGGCATCCAAACTTTGCTTAGAAGAGTTCCAATTGTCCAAAATTTGTCCTAAAATAATAAAACATTGTAACAGCAGCACATTAACATTTTTTGAGAGGAAATACAGAAACAAGAAGAAAGGGAGAGAATCAATCAGGACCTTATTAAAACTTTCTTGCTACACTTACACTTAAGACTCTTAGATCATTTGACAACTCTTTAGTTATCTAACGCCTTAAGTTTTGGATCATCTTTTTTAGGGCCCGTTTGGGGCAGCTTATAAGTGC